GATCCTTGCTTTCCTCCCCCATCTTTTGCATATTCCCTTTTCAAACTGGACCCACATCATGCCTTTATTCACAATACATCTCAAACAAATTCACAAACAGGTCTTACTTGGCTTTGATAGCAGAGCCGTGTAACAGTTGAAAAGAAACTCAGTGGTTTCCACTTAGTTATGCTTTGAGTTCCTGAGGTTAAAGCAAACCTGAAACTCAAAATGAAACTCTGCTTAGAGTGAGAGGAAATATATGAGAAGAGGAGGGGGAAAAACCTGTGCTTATATCCCACCATGGTCTGAGAAGCATCTCTGTAATTCAGAGAACACTGCAACCCCTTTGCAGTTGACAGCCAGTTAGAAGTAAGACTGCTCTTTCACATCTGTATACATGATAGTACAATTCCTCATAAAAAAGTGTAAGAAGTCAGTAATGGCACAGAGCGAGCCAGTTCAATGTGAAAAGAGATCAGGAACATACAGAAAAAGAAATATTTTGTAATACAGTAGTAGCATCTAAGACAACAAAGTTATTTTGCTCCCTACCACAGGTTTGCTGTGCTATTTCAAAAACATTACTTAATTCTTTGGACTCACATCATACAGAAATGGAGAAAATTGTTATGGCTATTAAAAGGCGCCACATGTTTGCAAAACACTCTGAAATGCTTGGGTGGAGAATAGAGGAGAATACCTCATTAGAATCACTTAGCTGATGAGTATTAAGCTAGAGACAAATCTGAATTAGATGCATGAACAACTGATTTAATCTGGTTGAAACAAATTGTATTCCCTGTATAAGCAACTACCACGCCAAAAACCTAGCTATGAAAGGCAAGAAGCAAAAACGTAGTGGAGTTTCAGAAACATAAAACTGATGGACTGGATTGGGACTGAAAAAATAGACTTACCTCCTTGGTTAAATAAAGAACCCCGTCCAACAGAGAGGAGGAAGGGATAAGAGGGGGGAAAGTGGAGATATATCAGCATTTTCTGATTAACTGAAAACATTAGGGTTTTTTAGGCATTCCATAAAGTTGTATCCATGACAGCTACAGTACCATCCTTTCAAAATGAACTCAGTGCAGAACTGTCCCAATCCGCAGCAGCGAGCATGGATTTTTTTAAGCATCAAGCTCATCTGTATCCCTCTTTTGAGTTTCATCCACCAAGACGTAGCTCACCTCAGACGGCAGAGTTAAAATCACTGTTGCTTTGTCTCCAATTCTATTAGCAAGGCTTTACTCAAGCTGTTACACTCTAAAAACCGCAACTGATTTAATAGAAAAGTAGCAGTTCAAGGAGCTCAGGCACCCAGTTCGGTGGCCTATGTTATTCCCAGGCCTAGCAGTCTTTAACTCTGTTGATTACTGGAATGACTTTTAATCAGTACAGCTACATAGGAACAAGCCATAGCATGAAAACAAGAAAAAAAGATGACACATGCCTAAATAGTTATTTCCTTCCACTGTCAGGAATAGCATTTAATAGATGCGCTAGTAGATGCATCCCTCCTGGAGCAAAACAGGCCAGGAATGTATCACTTGGATGACACAAACATCAGTAAGCTATCAAACTTTTTGCTGTAGAAAAGACCTTTGGATTGAAGTGACAAATGTGTTTTCGAACCCAGAAACCGACTCAGCAGCTTCAACCTGTTTCCAATAACTCCCAAGTAGCATCTGCTGCAAGATTCAGGAAATATGTGTATAAACTTATTCAAAACAAACGACAACGTACCTTGAACAGTCTGTAGAGATCACAGCAGTTTTGCTGAGCATATGGAGAAGCTGTTGGCTTGTATTTAAAAGGAATAAAAGCCATAGCTGCTCAACAAGTAAACTGTTCATATTTGCTAGTTAACATGAACAGCAGAACTAAACCAGCCCTCCTCTCCTGCATCACGCTCCCTTCTGAATTTCACACACACAGGAGGGGAGAACTCCCAACAAGAGCCCTTCCTCCAGCATGGGCTCTAAAAACATTTTCACAAAGCTCAGGTCCTTTTAGACCTTTCCTTCCTTGGTCAGACGTGGTGAAATTCATAAACTAATTCATAAAGTTACAAGAGGGCAACAGATAAGGGAGAGCCACAGGGATGCTTTCTTAAAGATGCCAGGCAGAAGCATGGGGTGGGGTGGGGGGGTGAGAACACAGTTTCAGAAGAAAGTCATATCAGTCTAAATGTAATGACATGCTTAGTTTTCCAGGAACATTAATCAGAAAGCATGCAGGATACACTTCATCAAAATCAAACAAAATGCCAACAACTACAATTACTTTAGGAACTATCTCTGCTGCAACTAGAATGATTATCATCTTTGTGCTTTCTTGCACTTCATACTTACTCCTTTTTGTTTGTTTTTTGTTTCCACATTCCTGTTGTTGTTATTAAAAACATAAGTTTACCCCACATTTTTAACCCTGGGGCTACAAAACATGGGAGTTAAGTAGCCTGCTTATACATCACAGCCCACCCTCAGCCAGCTCTAGCATAACCAGGTTTTTGCTCAGCGCAATCTTCCGTCTTCTGAGTTGCACTTAGCCCCATCTCATGTAGTAAGAACGAGTTGTTATGCCCTACTGAATAAGCCCTGGAACCCAGCACATACTTAGTCAGTATATATTTATGCTTGAATTCACATCAGCAGAAACAATGAGTACAAAAGGACATACATTATGGGGGGAAAAAAAAACACAAATACTACAGGCGTCTGGAAAAGTCACATATGAAAACTGAACTCATTGAAAATGAGTTACAAAAAGGACACAATTCTAGTGCTTATTTGCCTGCTACTTCTAAGCCCTTGATGATGCATTCAAGTCCCATTCCTCCACTCTTTCCTTAAGAATGAAAGCTACGTCTACTTATTTCTCAAATAAGAGGTTAAATATCTCACCTATTCTGTGTCTTTGGTTGCTAGAAATTTAAGGAATTGAAATTCTTCCAAAAGGGATTCAGGAGTCAGTAAACACTACCTGTGTTCAGCTGAACTTTGAAAGTGAACGTTGGAAGTCTTACCAGGGCCTCAACTGACATCAGACAGCCTATAAACACACTGCATTAAAGTAATTACAAAGAATTTTATCTTGAAGGCTGAAGACAAATGTGAAACTGCCACCTTAATTCTGCTGTAAAACTGCCAGAGGAAATACTGCTATTAAATTGACATAGCTAAAAAGAGTCCCATGTGGGCTTGAGTGTGCTTGAGCTTCCCTGCCCACCCTTGGCACTGCCAACTTGCAGGTACCATCCACATAGAACCCAGTGCAACGCACCGTACCTGACCTGACAGCTATTTCAATGAGAGATTCAGGACACCCCTGTCATCGACAACCACAGAATAATCCACCTCTGGAAAACCATCTTCCTAGCTTCACCAAGAAGCAGCTCTTTTTCAATCCGAGTCCAAGAATTTTCTTCCCTCCAATACGTTATAGAAGTCCATGGCACTCAAATCTTAGCAAGAATGCCATACATTGTCTATGAACTGTGTATCAAGAGCGTACATTGTCTTGGATTACTGTGAAATTTTCATTTACTTGGGAAGGGAAGCCTGCTTTTTCTTGTGTTTTGGAACACAGGAGAATCATATTTTCTCTTTTTAGTTCAGTACTTTGGTAGCACTTTTAAGTTCATGAATCTCTTACACATTATAGCTAAAAGAAATGTCGCAAACCTGCGGGAATCTCTCAGCACTCTGCACCCTATGTGACAGGTCAATCAGTCACAATGGTCTCTCTTGGCTGTAAAAAATATAAATAGCTTTAATAAGAGAAATTGAATCTAAACAGCAAAAAAAGAGAATGCAAGTGCTCTTACATCACGATTCTCCACTTACCTACACAGAAATGCCGTTAGATTTGGGTTACTACCACGGATCATGTTCCCAAACCTAACATCCTTCCCACGGCTGTAAAATAGATGGCATAACTCACTGCGCATATTTTCAACTATAGGTCGTTTTTTGTCACCAAAATGCTAACAAAGTTCTTCACAGGGGTCAGAGGGCAGGATTTTACCCCTAGCTAGGTGGTTTCCTAGTTTCAGGAAAGTCGGTTTATCAGGAGAGCACAAGGTCTTGTCTCTGCTGATCTGTCTATACCATTAGGGACTACTGCACAGTTGGACCGTGGCATCTGTTTTAGAAAAAAAACTACGTAGCCTACACATCAGCTTCTGTGGCCGGTGCACGCTGCCTCACCGTGAAATAAGATCTACGGGTATATACATTAAATAGGTATGCACATACAGCACTATATGCAAGATGTAAATGGCTCTTGCACACTGATCCAGGTACCGATGAGTTCTGCGTGACTGAAACCTTCCATACCACAAAACTGCAGCATTGCCTATAAATATGCTCAGCACTTGATGCTGACAAACAAAAAAATCCCTCCAGCTGAGACGGCCCACTTCCATGAACGAATCGTCATATGACTGGAAAAGGCAGAAAAAAAAAAAGAAAAAAAAATAGCTGTGCTTTGGACTATTCTTTTCAGCCCAGAGAGGCAGGGGCTGCGTCGGCCAGCGTCACCGCTAGCACTGTGCGTGGCTGTGGCTGATGTCCCCCCGAGAAGGCGGCCGGGGCGGGTTTGGCAGTTGAAGGAACCAAAAAGCAGATTATGCCCACGAAAATGGAAAGCCCTGTAAATAATCCCGGGGCAGAGAGGCTCTGAGTGCTCGTCGGGGAAACGCGAGTGGCATCCCCACGGGGGAGAGGCCCGAGGGAAGGGGGAAAGGGACGGAGCTCCACTTTTTTAAGCGGGCAGCCTGCTACTCACGGCTGTCGTCTCCTCTCGCCGCGGCTACGTGCTAATCCGGTTTATTTCGAGAAAGGGGAGAAAACGCGCTCTCCCTTCATCCCCGGTTTCGGAATTGTTGCGTCTCCCGGGGAGGGGGGAAAAGGCTCAGCCCGAGACATCTGGTTTGGAAATGACTCACTCGGCAGCGCTGCGGAGCCGGAGGGTCTATTTTTAATATTTTTTTTTTTTTTAAATGGAGAACTTACCCAGGTTTTATGCCTGCTCTCGGCTTCAGAGGCACCGCCGGGCGAGGGGAGCCGGCTCAGCCCGCTCCCTTCCGCAAGCCTCCCCCGGAGAAACATCCCCTTCGCCCGGCTCCGCGGGCAGGGGCGGCCGCGCAACCCCCCCCGGCCGGCGGCGGCGGCCCGGCC